TTTTATATGGAGATCTTTGCCCATCGCAATAAAAAGTAAAAAAGAAACGTTGTACGCTCTAGAAACAATAATATATTAGGCTCTCGAAGTTCTTTAGAGTGTAGACTGAAGTAATGGTGTTTGAATGCAGCAGCTTGTTGTTGTTTTTTGTAAGGTGGGAGGATAAATAAAAGGATGCTCAGAACGAAGCAGTATGTAAGTTTGAAATGAATACATGGAGCGAGGAGCACACGAAATGCCGTGAGTAATCGAGTCTTAAAGATACATTTGTTAAAGAACTTCCCTGACACCATCACTGCTATTCCACTCTACTACTTTTCGATAGATTGTGAACGTATCAGGGGCAAATCCATCCACCCATTTTAGGGGGCGGGGCGGTCGCCTGAAGAAACATTGCAAAGGAAGGCGTGGTGGCTGCTGCTGCTGGAAAACTTTTATTTACAGATGTTATTTACAGGGAGGGTGGGAACGGTCCTTAAGGGGCCGCCCCGTACAAACACTAGGTGCGCTCCCTCTTACGGGAGCCCATTGGCGTTGGCCGCGGCCCGGGCATGCTCGACCAGGGCCCGTTGGGCCGTCAGGTCAGAGCAGCTGAGCAGGGCTGCCTCCCAGTCCTCCCGCGAAGGGTTGGGTAGTGGGGTAAGGTTCGGGGTTTTTTGGCATGCCCACACCATGTGGAAAATGACGTGGTGGCGACGTTTTGTTTTTACTAGCGGAAAAACTCCTTCATAGCATAGGTACTGCTAATGTGTTCTCACAGTAGTTTCACTCATTTGTCCTAATTGTTGATAGAAGATGAACTATAAGTACTAGAGTGAGGGGGATAGTGCTGGCACAGACTTTGGGGGGGGGGGGGGGAGTGTGATAACCCCTACCGTTCTCCCCCTCTAAATTCCGCCACTGGTCTGTATATAGGCGTGGTGACAAGAGATTCAGGAAAAGCTGATCACGGTGAGATGCTTTTTTAATAAAGTTGTCATAAGGGTAGTACAGTAAATTCCTGATTCGAACAGCATTCCAAAGGGCTCTGCGAGTGAGAAGAAGTCAAGCCCCCTTTCATCAGCGTGAAAACTAACTCTTATAACACGTGTTAGTATTCCAGTTAAATGACACACCGTAAATGTAGAAGTCAAGAAGTTCTGCTGGTGTTACAAATCACAGCTTTTACGAGTCGTTATTTGTAACATATTTCGTGGGATGGAAGCGGAGGTCCTTCTATTCAAAACAGCGTCTTCGTAGGTCGCCTCCTCTCAAGTTATGTTGCACTCCGCAAATTTCTTGCCAAGATAATCAGCAAGAAAAGTAAACAAAGCGAACACAATTAAACAAAAAATAAAGATATACTTAAAAAACACACTTACGACGCACCGCCCACTGCAACAGTAAAAACCAGCAGATAATGCAGCCGAAGAAGGTATACAAGACGTTAACAGTAGTGTTCTAAGTGTGTTGTAATAGATGTGATGCATATGTGAGGGAAGTAAGGTTACCAACAACAACAAAAAACAACTTGGCGGAGGCAGGTACCAAAGGTGCCACCTTTGAGTTACGCACCCGATGTTTAATAATTGAGCTACAGAGGCGCTCGTCCCCATGAACACTTACTGTCGCGTATTTATGTAAACGGTAACCGGGGAGCATTAGCCAATGGCACTCATAGCTATGAGGGCGAGTGTTGAATACTCTTTTGGCCAGCTGCTGTCAGGTACCACGCGACCTTTGAAAGGAGCGGACAGCTGATCATTTACCGTCCCGTAGACTTTTCCTGGCTTCATTGGCTGACCGTTTTCATTAAGCTTGTGTCAAACAAAGTAACGAGTCCCCAGATCTTCCTTTCTTCATTAATACATTTGAACGAAGAAGGTTAAGTGTACTAAGTTGTCTTTCTTTCTTTCCTTTAAATCGAAATGTTAATTTGTATGCAAGCTTTTTCACAGCTTTCCATTTGCATCCTGTAACTTTCTCTTGTAAGATATGGCCAACAAGCCAAACTTCTGATAAAACCTTTTGTTTGTTTGTTTTATGAATTCCGAAAAACAATCAATAAAGTGTGGACGTAAGAAAAAAAAAAGACTACTGGGCGCATTATGATTTACGTTGTTGCTTTATTCTTTACTAAAACTGCGGTTTGAATGCACGCCCTTACAGAGGACTAAAGAAAAGAAACCTAACCACAAATGCACACACAAAAACTCGTTGACAATCAAGCACAGCTGATTCTCACAGGAACTTTTCAGCCCCAGTTTGTTCGTTGCGGAAGGCAACAACTCTGATCGGCGAAAGAAGTAGTTTGGAGGAAAATAATAAATAGAAAGATAAAAAGAAAAATAGAGGTAGAGAGAGGAGAAAGAAAAAGAATTAGACAAAAGAAAGGATCAACACAGGAAGAGAAAGGAACAGAGAAAGACGATGCAAGAAATCGAAACACAGATTAAGGAGGAAAAAGGAACATGAAGAATTCCACGTAACGCTAGTCACGTCACGTAAAACCACGCCGCACTAGCCACACGGCATGTTTCCGCCAAACGCCCATAACGCTAGTTGCCTGACAGTCTTCCCGCGAAAAATCGTGTAATACTAGTGACGTGAACGCGTCATGTGACAAATGTGGTGGCGAGAACGTGTCTGGTGGCGCGGCGCAGGTACACGGGCTTCACAGGGCAGCCAGTTCCTTCTACAAGTTCTTGCCGTGCACCACTGGGGTAAACTGCGCCTGCGCCCTTCCCCCTCCTTGATAGTAGAATGATATACCAACTCGCTTAAATTAAAGTCCTAATAACTTCGTTGGTTCATTAAATATTTTCCATTCCTGCTACCAGGAAAGCTAGAAGGTTCCTGAAAAATTCGACCTCTTTAACTTTCACATTTTACCATTTTTTTAAACTCTCGAGACCACCCGGCTGGGGTGGACCCATTTGCCTGGAGGCGAAATGATTCGGTGTCAGGGCACCTTACAGAACACCAGACGGTCAAAATTTCTGGGCCCCTCCCCTACGGCATTTCTCATAGTCATACTGCGGTTTCGAGGCGTAAAATCTCTGATATTTTTGTAACACCTTTTTTTATCTCACCCTTTTTTTTTCTTGGTGGACACTGATATTAGTTAGTGATGCATATTTTCATTGGAAGTTTGCGTGCGGCCAACCTCTCCGCCTTTCTTTAAATAAACCTACCTCTCTCTCTCATGCACAAACACACGCATAAAGTTTTTTTTTTCTCATTATGGTTTCCCGAGAGCTGCTGTTGCGGAACGCGCTGCAATACTGCAGTCTCATACGGGTACACGTGCCGGCATAGCTTTTCGCATTACAGCGCCACGTGGACGCGACTTTGGCGGTTTCGCTAATGGGCCCGGACTGAAACTACGTGCTCGGAGCGTTCGTTGTGGCTTACCGGTTGTACAGGCCGGAGCAAGCTTGTAGCTATCCCATTCTCCTCTCTCTCTCTCTTTCTCTCTCTACGCAGAAGGTGGAATGTCACAGTCGACAATTCCTACTGCCAGTGTGCCAAAAGCCTCGTAGAAGTCTGGACTGAACTTCGCCATGCACAGGCCCCAATTGCGGCTGCACTCAACAGTTGGCTGTTAGTCCAAAGAAGATTACGTTCACCGTGCTCGCAAAGTACCGTCAGTGTATTTTAGACGTTCTAGCTGTGTCCGTTAAGGAGTTAAATCTCGTAGAATCGAGAGGGAAGGAAACTGCAGATTAGATAAAAAGAGACACAGTTTTTTCCGAGTTCGAAATAGGTAAATAGGATACGGGCTAGCAAGCTTCAGCTGCACTCATGAAACTTTCGTAAGTTGAGGGCGCTTCACCGCAAGCTAGCCACTTTTGGTGATAATATCTCTAGCAGCGTGGTTGACCTCCCATTGCCTTTACAAGGAATTTATAAAATAGTTCTTTTATGAGTACAAAGCTTCGATTTGATTTATTATTTAAAAGGGAGATTTAACGTCCTAAAACCACCATATGATCGTGAGAGACGCCTTAGTGGAGGACTCCGGAGATTTCGACCACCTGGGGTTCTTTAACGTGCCCCCAAATCTGAGCACACGGGCCTCCGGCACTGCCGCCTTCATCGAAAATGCAGCCGCCGCAGCCGGGACTCGAACCCGCGACCTGCGGGTCAGTAGCCGAGTACCTTAGCCACAAGACCACCGAAGCGGAGATGAATGCGAAGATTTCCCGAACAGGTCAGAACGAAGAGTTTTTGGGCCAGAAGAGATGACTTGTGCTACAGGAAGCATCTAAAAAGTTAGCACGAATGGGCTGATTATTCGTATGTTTTAGAGGTTACTAGCATATAATTGTCTTTGCTTTGCTTTAGATTTCGTGCTATTACTGTAAGACAGTAATTTAAAAATATTTGAAATACTAAAATACTAACTCAACAATTACAAACGACATGGAAAAAAGCGAAAACAAAAATTGTCATGTTTCTGAGACTCACCATGCCGCTTTTTCGACCTGGTTGACTCGGTCAGATGTTCGCGTGTGTAGTGCTCACTCACTAACTCATTCACTCACTCACTCACTCACTCACTCACTCACTCTCATTCATTCATTCATTCATTCATTCATTCACTTACTAACTCACTCACTCAGGGCAGCGTGGCAAGATGAGCAGACATTCGTTCTTCCTTCAGTCTCTTCATTCGTAGTGACTTTATTTCTCGTTACCTCGTGAGGACAAAACCACGTAAAAACCGGAGGCGCGACGACAATCAAAATCGTGGTTGCACAGCGAACGTCGATACCTGAAGGTTGGCACAACATGTTTTCACGAAGGGAACAAAACAACACGAAACACACGATATATACACGCTATAAAACTGAGGTACTAGAATAGCTGCCATCTTCTGTCGCGTCTTTCACGCTCTTCCGTCTGTCGCAGAAGTGTTCGTTCAATCAAACTGTTCGTCCTTTTCGAAGCACCAGTCCGACGCACCCAGACGTTTAGCTGCACCATAGAGGAGTCAAAATCAGCTAGGCTCAGATTTCTTTTTTTTTCTTCTTGTTTTTCTTCTTTTTGTATCGTAAAGGATGGGCGTGGCTCCGGAAGCTGCGCAATGTAAATAAAAATTGGAAAAGTCAGGTCAGTGAGAACAATCAATAAAGAGAAGGGGCATCAAAAGAGAATATCAAGTTTTTATCCAGAGGAATATTTTTAGTTAAATGGTTAGGTCATACCAGTTATCAGTTAAACATCAGTTACAAAATTCCTGTATACAGACGAAGGTCTTAAAGTATAAAAATTTCAACAGGGGCCTTCAGATTAAAATAACGAAAAAATGAATTCTAAAATTGGCAGATTAGCTGTTGGTAACTGGTAAAAACAGATTAAATATAGAAAATGAAATATCAGGAATACGAAAATATACAAAACAAAATGGGAAATGCAATATACAAAGTAATAAATGCAATTATCAAAAGCAATATGTAAATACTGAATGAATAAAAAAAAAACTAAATGGTTCTTGTCACCGTACTTCGCGACGACTACCCCCGTACCAATGAAGTGGAAAGGGGTAGCCATCGCCAAGTAACGGCGACAAAAACTCCTTAGTTTATTTTCTATTTCAACAAAATAAAAACAAACTGTTAGAAAGAAAGAATATAACAAAATAAGCAGAAACAGAAACCAGAAGAAAAGTTGCAAAATGGCATGAAAAATGGCACACGTAAGCTAAGTTAAGCTATTAAAAGTAAATAGGAGAGATTTTATTGATGCTTCGAGCTATGCTTTTTCAAGTAACAAATGCATAGGCGGTTGCATAGACGCAACCCGCACTCGATTGTTCTGTGACTGCAAGGCATGCGATGGTAGCGGAATAACAAAGAAACATGGCATGACAGTGAAGTTCCCTCTTGAACAATTAAAGTATCTCCACCGCTCTATAGGGGCAGCTTTCCCGTATATCCATGAAACTTTTCGTAAGTTATTACCGAGCCCTCGTTCACTGCCCACCTGCTCATTTGTTTTTTTGTTTGTTTCAAAGAGCAGGTTTCGTAGTAACGCATGTGATGGTAGCGTTATTCCTCTCGAACACGCCACAGCCCGCCGCAGGACACGTTAAATTTCCCGAGGCCAAGGTCGAGCGAGCACACCTTGGCGTGCGCATATTGATTAGGCTGAGAAGAAACGCGAGTGAGCCTAAGTTAGCCTGCGCATCGAGAATGCTCCAGGCTTGGTAGGATGCATTCCACTAAGTTTCAAAGAAGGTGTTGTCTCGTCGTCAAGTTACGGCGAAAGCTAGAAAAGCGGATGACAGATACCTTAATAATAACGCTTGTCGTTAAATGCAAGCACCTTCGCGAGATTTCGCGATGCGTGCTCATTCAAGGTTTCTGGTTTAAAACACGAAAACGCGAAAATGGAGAGGGTGTTAAAAAACGGCATGACACATGGTGCTTCGTGACACAGTTAATTTTGTGAAGGTGAGACCACGACGCTTTCGAATCATATGCTTAAGTAGTGCATGGCTAAGACGATCCGCTAGCAACCACCTTTTGATTTCTACGCGGACACGTTTAATTACCTGGTTAGTTCATACGAAGCGAAATCCCGATTCAAACATTACATGTGATGGATGAGAGTGAGAGCTTACCAGTTATGAGGGGAGCTCTCTCTATTCATACGCCCTCTGCGCGTGTTGAGTAAAAGGTCATTAACTTGAAGTTACGGTTAATTCGAACTGATGTCCTGGTACCAGCACAACCCTGTGCATTTTGATGGGGAACTCTTTCTCAGTGGACGAGAATTCGGATGCTGCGCTGGAGCTCTTGGACAAGCTGCAAACGATGCTGATGAAGTCCTGACAGAAGATACGCAACCAAATGCACAGGTACGCTAAGGTAGGCACTTGTAGCTTGGAAGAAGATTTGACCGCTTGTGGTCACGTTTCTTCTTGCTCACCACGTCCCACTGTCCTCCCCCGTGCTCAGGAATGTTTAATCAGTTTCACTTGTTCAAAAGTCGGTTGCCAGAGTTTTGACCATAACTCACCCAGAACTGAGCAGTATATCGACCAAGGTCCTATGCGTGGAGGAGTAGCCGGCCATGATGAGTGGGACATGAGGAGGAGGGCTTCTTGAGGCGATATTGCGAAACGCACGGGAGCTGCTCAGACGGCAGCTACCGCGCTGGGATTCCTGGATATCCTCTGTGGTCCCGCCGTAGCCCGAAGTGGGTACTTGCGGACCACTTTAGAGCCTCCCTTCGGTGAGGCACTGTGCTCGGCCACGGAGCCGTTGAAGTGCGACATGAACACGGTCGATGTCTGCGAGTAGCCGCCGCGCAGGAAAGAGCGCTCCTTGTTCGGGTTGCGGCGGATAGCAGCCCTGAGGTAGGCGTTGCGAACGGCTGTCTGCACCTGCGAAGACAACATTAAGAAGCAGCATTTCTCCGAGTGGGTACGGGACATCTCACTGTGAACCGAAGCTGGTGTAACAGAGAATCAGATATAATCAGATATACAGTCTCAATCCAATCATGCAGCGAACTTATTTCTCTCAACACAGCAAAGTACCACATGTGAAGGGAAACTACTGCGGTTGTTCTGTCAATGAATGTGTGCGCCTTTTCTTTTTCAGCAACTCAATAATATGTGTTAGATAGAAGTCGTTTTTCATAGGGTTAGCCTGAGTTACAGCTCTTTCCTCGTATCAAACCGATACCGAGCCTAAAGTTTGGTATCGATACCACTCGGATACCGAGCCTCAAACGTGGCATCCAAGGCACAAGAGCATTCCCATATTTTCATTGATAACGGCGTCTTCCTTCTTGTTCTTTCTCCGCTATGTTAATTGCCACGATAAAGAGTTTGACGTGCGCATGTGCTCTAAACTACAAACAGAATTACGCACTGTCCTCATTATCTAATTCTGAAGCAGCATTAAAAGGTGAATGTGAGACATATATAAAAATAAAAAGAAATAATAAGGTAAGAAAAAAATTCCGCCCTCAACGGAGACTTTAAGTGAAGATCACTGTTTCAAATTGCTGCTTCAGAGCTTTTTTTTTTATATAACGACCACCCTTTGAGAGATAACGATCGCATTTCATCACCACTCATTGCAAAACTGCGTCAGGGCAGCTGAGATACGCGAAAGGATATCAAGCAGAAATGTTCTACTGCACCATATGTACTGAACAGCTCGCTGTGAGACACGTGCGATCTAAAATTTCTGACTTAAAAAAAATTATGCAGAAGGAGAAATGCCTTACCTCTGAATTCATGAAGCAGTAGAGTACAGACACGAAAATACCCTGCAACCGGAAGAAGACGGGGGTCACTCATTAGTTTAGAAGAATTTTTCGTTATTCATTCATTCATTCATTCATTCATTCATTCATTCATTCATTCATTCATTCATTCATTCATTCGTTATGGTATGTATTAAAACAAACATGCAAACCTTTCCCACGCTCGACAACGCTGCAGTAATTTGTAAGAAACGAAATTGATGCAAAAGAAACGACTTGAATATCATAGAGGAAAGGAAACAGGGATGAGACCAACACGACGACGTACCTAATGAAAATGGCTAAACCCAAAGCACGAAGCGGGCAAAAAAAAAAAACGATAGGGGCTTTACCTCATTCGGCAATTTATAATGATGGGTCACTGGTGCCGGCTGTCAACGTCGACAAATAGCCTGTTCTCGTGGCTTCCGGTGAAAACCAATAAAAGTGTAGTCAAGACAAGCTTGTCATGGTTTCATCTAAAACTTATTTTTAGCTTGGCCATACATAGCCTCTTTCGGTATACTTCGAATGTGTTCATTGCACGAAATTTAAAAATCGAGGACCATAAAGAAACTTTTTGGTTTTATATGAAAGATTAAATTTATGAAAGATCCCGATTTAAAGCGTTCGGCTGCTTTGCTCCAGAAACCCGTGTTCTTTAAGAATGGTGAGACCCAGCACCCTAAAAGTTTGTGGATTGCAAACTTCTTGAGGAGTTCTCGCAAAACATGGAACCTTTTCCACTATAGGTACAGCACCGCTACCTGCGAGAGCCGAAAGTAAACTTGCTGGATTTCCGATCGACTTGACAGCGTGGGAGCTTGTGCGTTCCTTAGCATCTATGGCCTCCGAGATGGCGCACCAACAAGTTTCGGAGGCCACGACCCACCGAAATTGTTTCGGGGTGACGCCATCGGAATGTTTCCGGTGCGCGCGCGCAGATGGCACTCGTAAAAAAAAGGTCCATTGGTGTAGCTGTACAATAGACCAGCGGTACGTGCACTGAAGACTGAAGACACTGCGTAGCTGGTGGCCTTCCTCTTACTTTTTCTCTTCACCATCACACCACTGCCACTCACCCCATAATTACCTTTTGCACCTTCTTACTTTGCTATACTAGCTGTATGCTATAGACCATACTAGACAGAGCACGTAGCTGTGTGCTCAGAGAGTGGGCGAGGAGAAGTAGGCGCCATTGGCAAGATGGTGCTAGGCGACGTCATCTCTCTTCGAGGTTTGGCTCTGCTAGGCGACCTTATCCCTCTTCGTCCGTCATCCTTTTCGAGGCACACCGGATGGCCTAACTTTCGACTTAAACTGTTTTGGCGTTAACAATTAGTGAATAGTGGTAAAAGAGAAAAACTATACACGAGGCTGTGTTATAATGCTGTGTGTTATGAGAATATATTCACGCATATAGTGACAAAAAAAGAACTCCTCTATTATCAAGACAAAGTTGCACTAATTAATGAGATAAACAAGTCCACCTTACATTGTTTACCACAAACAATAGTTTATCAAAACACGTACGTTTCGAACAATGCCGGTGCAGCACTGATCTACGCAAAATAAGTACAACGTCTTCAGTTCTTAAGACACATTTATCAAAGGAAAAAAAAAAAAAACGGGAAGAAAAAGCATCCAAAGGCAGCGCATTCAAGCCGAAAAAAAAAACGAACATATAACACACGTACACATCGCGAACTTTCGACAATCAACAAGAAAAACAACAAGCGTGCAAGAAAAAGCATTTGTCCACGCTGCGGGCTACGGCGATACATACTTTCCGTATGCAGCGTCCATGTCCATCGTATTGCTCATTAATTCGCCGTCGCGATACTGGCTGCTATATAGCCTCACAGTTCACTTAGGTTGTAGAGCAACCATCCACACAGAGAAGGTGTTGGTCCCGGGTTTAAATCCCCAATTGCAGCTCTGTCACCTTTTTAACTATAAGACTTTGTTTTCTCATAAATGTTTATGAATCTTCTGTCCTATGTTTGAAGTGACGAAATATTCTTGAACGCAAGGTAGCTGTTGCCGACGTCCTGACAGGCGGCCTCTTCTGTTGTTTATTAATGTTACGAACGGGAATATGGCGAATTTTCTAATTCACGGAGCATCCTTGAACTTGCGGACTTCCACAAAACTTCGTCGTAGCTCTGTGCATACATTGCTGTGTATTCACTACCCCGAAATCGATTCTATTAAAGCCAATTGTCGAGATAATCGATTACGACGTGCATATCTGACACGACGGGCGACGCAAAGGATGAATGTGGAACGGCCCACGGAATCTCAATTTCTCTCATTCCCGAATAATGGCTTAAACAAAGATTTAGGCGCTCGTGGAAATACGTGAATGGAGTGAGAAACGACGTCGCTTGTGCTTCTCTATCTTCGCTCGGAACAAGTAATGCAGCGTGAATCGGAAACTACTGCACCAATTTGGCGTATGGCGATTGAGTCGTTTCTTTAAGCGCCAGAAAAAAAAAACGCAAAGTTAAGAGTCTCAGTAACGCGCTCAACTAGAACTGCCACCGACACTCACGACGGGTGCGCGGTACGATTCATTCGTAAATGTACGACAAAACAAAACAAAACAAAACAAAAAAGCGACAGAATGTATCGATGATGTACTCTATAGTAAGTGAGATCAAGGCTTCTTCGTCTTTTACTCTTCCGTGATTACAGAAGAGGGAAGGGAAGGGGTACGCGAAGATTTCCGACGAGCTCCGGCGATCGCGAGCATAACAAAGAAATGATCAATGAAAACCTAAGAGATGTTCCGGCCACGATTACGCTCGTCACGGACGAACCAGCTGAACACTCAAGTTCTATTTGTTTTTGCCGTCGAGCGCAGTGCGGGTGGTGAGAAAAAAGAAAGGGATGACGCTAAATTCAGAAAAGGAAGTGTCAGAAGCGAGCCTTCGAGATCTGCGGATAATCCAGTTAGTTATAGTACCTCGCGAATACCCAAAGAAAAAGAAATGTCCCCGTATCTGAATGTTACACTGCAAATGTCGTCGAAAGACGACAGGGTGAACAAAACGTTTATTTGCTGTTCTGCGCAAAACAAATCGGTGAATGGTATCCTCGAGACACTGCATTAGAGTGCCTCAAGCGTGCAGTGGAGCCGAACAAGCGCATCAAGTCACGTCACACGTGAGACATGAGCGTTATCTGGCAGTTATCTTGGAAAACAAAGCGCGCGGCGTGCATGCCCGTCTGAAGGCGATAAGGTGTAGAACGCAAAGCGACGGGTAAGTGCCACCACTGTGTCGTCTTTGCACAGCGTTGGAAACAATTGCCTTTTCGTGCAAGCGTTGCATAGTCAGCGCAGCGTGATAAACGCTACGGTCCTTATAATTACTTATGTAAGCTTTGTCTAGTAAACGATCGCACACATACAGAATATTGACGTGTTGTTATGGTGCCTCAGATATGTGCAATAATTGTTTGGGTGACAATCGCATAAGTATGAACGCTGAACCTTGAACAACATTGGTGGGCGCTGCGGATGAGGTCAGCCGTTGGGGGGATATCTTCTGATGCTGTTTGAAGTACCGTTAAGAGTGGACAAACAGACAAATGTACAGACAGACAGGTCAAAACATTTGCGTTGAAGGTCTCCAAAAATGACTATCGTCTTCAAAAAAAGAGAAAAGAGAGTACTTCGCTGACGCCGCACTTGCCTGTGAAGACTGGAGTATGGCGTTAATGACCATGTAGGCCTCCTTGAGGCCCATGTTCTCGTCTTGCGGGTTGATGCAGAACAGGAGATGCGTGATTCCCAGCAGAGGGAAGAGCAGCACAGTCGCCTTGATTGCCTTCCTGCGCACGCAGTAAAAGCGGGGGTGGATGCTGTTAGCACAGCGCATTAGCCCACGGGTAAAGGAGACGAACGAAGACAATTTAGTAGGAACAAAGCGATGAGGGAAGCGGATGCATGGATGCTTGCGTTCCTGCTCTGTGAGATAATGTCCTGTTCGCGCTATTAACTAGAGACATTAATCATCATTTGTGGGGTTTAACGTCCCAAAACCACCATTTGATTATGAGAGACGCTGTAGTGGAGGGCTCCGGAAATTTTGACCACCTGGGGTTCTTTAACGTGCACCCAAATCTGAGTACACGGGCCTACAACATTTCCGCCTCCATCGGAAATGCAGCCGCCGCAGCTGGGAATCGAACCCGCGACCTGCGGGTCAGCAGCCGAGTACCTTAGCCACTAGACCACCGCGGCGGGGCTATTAACGAGAGGCATGGCGACGAAAAAGGGAGGGAAGAGCTGGCTCACCTCACCTCACTACAGCTATCAGTGACAGCTCACCACACACACACACACACACACACACACACACACACACACACACACACACACACACACACACACACACACACACACACACACACACACACACACACACACACATATATATATATATATATATATATATATATATATATATATATATATATATATATATATAATTGTCACTTTAAGGGACCCAAACAAATATTTCACTCTGAATAGTCACCAAAATACTGTGAACAGCAGCGGGCATAGCATATGTAAAGTTAAAGTGTCAAATGCAATTTATTTTGAAAATAATTCTGTAACTCTTATTTTGACAAGTGTTATTAAAGCCCAATAAGAGGCAAAGCTGTCCGGAGAGTCGATTTTTCATAGCCCCGGCTCTGGTACAGCTTTCTGCTGTGACACAAAATCTATCAACTAGCCAGCTGCGCAGAACACACCAAGTATCATCGTGCCTTGAGGTGGATTCTCACTCCACCTCAGGGCCGAAATTAGATCGGAAACAGGCGACACACAAGCGAAAATCACAAGCTCATTCTTTTCGCAGCCATAATCAGCTACACAGACTGTTTCCAGCAATTTAGCCAGACTCGATATGTAAAGCCTGTTAAGTAGAAGCAGCCTCCTTAAGTCACATGCTCTGGGGGTGTCCCAAGAAGCAAACAGACTCCCCAGAACCTCTCCTGGAACGGTGGCGTGCAGTGATAGTCAGCTCCAATTTATAAGACCAAACATGGTCTATACAGCAGGCCAGGTAGGCTAGTGGGAGTCAAGGTCATCAATCCTCCATCTGAGTGGTCTGGCCCAGACAAGCTACTAGCCGGATCTCGCAATAAAGTTGTTTCATTCAATCATTCTAATAAATCCTAGAGCCTCGGATAGAAATACAGAATTTCTACCTGCCTCATTCATTACAACTTCTTCGTCGCACTCTTTCGGTGCCGAAACAATATCCAAATCTGAGACCTATATTGATATACTATACGCAGTTATACACTATACACTATTGATACGGACGTGGCTCGTTTTCGTTTGCGACACTGACACTTTGCCTCCGCGGCGCTGCATGCACAAGCGATAGTGCACCGTCGCTGATGAATGGACAATTTGGACGTCACGCCCATTGGCTATGCCAGCACCGCAGAGCTCAAAACTTCATCGCATTGAAAAGTTCACTCAGCTAAAATAATCGCTACTCAGAAATTTGTTAAACATTTCGCATAGAATGCGTAGGAAAACCACCGGGGATTTCCGGAAAGTTTGTTGGAGAGAGAGAAAGAGAGAACACAACTTTATTGTCGTCAGACTTAAGGAGGTAGGTGATCCGCCAGCAGGTGGCCAGCTCCTCTGTCCTTTGTACGGCCTGGAGTTGAACTGCCAGGCTGGTGGAGATCAGAGTTGCTTCCGACCCCTCTGGCGAGGGAGTGGCTAGGAGAGCGGGATTAGGGGGATCTTGAAGCGCGTCAATAACTTGAGAGGCTTGTCATGTGACTAAGCTGGTTGTGGCATGTTACCACAAAAATACAACAATAACAACGTGACGGACTCGGCAAACGTATAGGAGAGCTGATTCGACGTGCGTGTATACCTGATTTCATATACATCTTGGTTAAAAGTGGTAGCTGCGAAGCTGGATATTTTCTTCGTGGGCATGTATGACCTTGCAGGTACGTCATGAAAGGTCACGCAGCTCGAGAGTAGGAAACGGCTAGGAACATTCATGAATTTATTCTACACTTCACGTGTTTTCATCTTTGTTTTTACAAAGTCGTTTATGTCCCATTCCCCGGTGAGCTGACGTGAGGTAGCTTAGGCACTGCCAGAACCAAGCGAGTGGCAGTATCTAACGAGCTGTCGGTGCTAGCGACGCATGCGACACGATCACATGTTTGAATCGACATGCCATACCTAGGGCAACGTTCACATGTGAGCGATAGCTCATGGCTCACGGGCCAACGGGTCATATTCTGTTAAGTACAAACATTCGCGACATGCGCCCGATATTTTAGAGCGCTGGCGTGGCGCAGCGCTGTGATCGACATATTGCTAAAAGCAGTGCCAAGGCCTGCACATGCAATATTAAGTAAGCTAATGAAGGCGTCAAAAAATCTGTGACTCAATTCATTACACGCGAATCATTCGTTTGCGATTTTTGGAGTACCTTTTTTTTTGCTTTCACTAAATGGTGCATAGTTTCTATCTATCTATCTATCTATCTATCTATCTATCTATCTATCTATCTATCTATCTATCTATCTATCTATCTATCTATCTATCTATCTATCTATCTATCTATCTATCTATCTATGATTGATTGATTTGTGGGGTTTAACGTCCCAAAACCACCATATGATTATGAGAGACACCGTAGTGGAGGGCTCCAAGCATTCGGACCACCTGGGGTTCTTTAAACGTGCACTCAATCTGAGCACACAGGGGCCTACAACATTTCCGCCTCCATCGGGAAATGCAGCCGCCGCCGCCGGGATTTGATCCCGCGACCTGTCGGGTCAGCAGCCGAGTATCCTTAGCCACTAGACCACGCGGCGGGTCTATCGATCGGCGATCGCCTCCCTAATAAACGGGACAGGTGTGACAATTAATCTGGCGTCCGCGATACAGGACCTTTTGGTGCACAGTGTGTCCAAAGTAGTGAGAAAGAGCCTCGAGTTGTTGATAGTGCTATCGGAACGATCTTGTGTGTTGTTCAGTGTTCTCGTTAACGAGTGCAGGGGAGTGTTCCGATAGACTGATTTAGGCAGATACTTTTTGCACGCGGCAAGGTTGTATTTGCGAGTTGCGAGACACAATGGATCTCGAAAAGTTAGTTGCGCTTGGTGAGAAGATGGGTCTTTCCGGCGCCGAACTACGGAAATGGGTAAGCCAGAAGGAGAAAGAGGCGGTGGAGAGAGAGAGGTTGGCGGCAGAGAGGGCCAAGGAAGAAAAGGTAGCTGAGTTGGAGAGAGAAAGGCTGGCCGCTGAAAGGGCGAGAGAAGAAAGAGAAGCAAAGGAGCGACAGCTGAAAGAAGAAAGAGAAGCAAAGGAGCGACAGCTGAAAGAAGAAAGAGAGGCAAAAGAGCGACAGCTGAAGGAAGAAAGAGAGCAGCAATTGAAGTTGGAGCTGGAGAGAGAAAAGTTGGCAGCCGAAAGGGCGAGAGAAGAAAGAGAAGCGGAGATGGCTGAAAGGGAGCGGCAGCGGCAACACGAGATGGAACTCGAGCGGCTCCGTTTGCAACAGCGAAGTGAAACTCCCGTCCAAGCTAGAGTTGAAAGCAGCGAACGGGAAGATCACGGCTTCCGCTTGAACCCAAGCAAGCTGCTCGTAGCGTTTGATGAAAGGAAGGACGACCTAGACGCGTACCTCCACCGATTTGAGACGATTGCGAAGAGCCAGAATTGGCCGGAACATCAATGGGCAACTGCTTTGAGTACCTGCTTGAGTGGTGAAGCGCTCAGTGTGTACGGTAGGCTGACGCCGACCGATGCAGCCAACTACGCAAAGGTGAAAGCTGCTTTGTTGAAGCGATTTAGATTCACTGTGGAAGGATTCCGGGACAGATTTCGGACAGGAAAGCCAGCTGATGGTGAGACGGCTACGCAGTATGCCGCCCGACTTTGCCATTATTTCGACAGATGGATTGAACTTTCAGGGACAGCACAGGAGTACGAGGAGCTTAGAGAGCTCCTAATTAGAGAACAATTTCTTACTAGTTGCCACCCGAGCCTGTCGCTGTACTTGAAAGAGAGGAAGGCTGAGTCGCTTGAAGGAATGCTTGAATTGGCTGATCAATTCTTGGAAGCGCAAGGTGGAACTAATTTGGCCAAGGTAAAGAAGGAGTGTCCCGATGATTCGAAGAAATTGGCTCCCGAAGAAAAGAAGCGTGCACCCGAGAGCATTCCGCGATGTTTTCTGTGCAACCGAGTGGGTCATCGCGCGAAAAACTGTCGAACGATTTTTACGAGCCCTACGGCAGTAAAATGTTTTAAGTGTGGTCAGACTGGGCACAAAGCAGATGCATGTCGAAACGGAGCGAGTCAAACTCACCAGGTATCCTGTGTGCAAGCGGCACCGAAATCTGATAATAATGCCGTCACTGATGGATTCGTAGAATTGAAAAATGGGGAGAAAATTCCTATTGTTGGTGCTGTAATGTCAAAACAGCCAACCGGTGCTTCGAAGGGAATGCCAACGCTGCCTGGAAAAGTTGCGGGCAAAAAGATTACGGTGTTAAGAGATACCGGCAGTTCCACTGTTATCGTGCGGAGAGATTTGGTACGGGAAAGGGAGTTAACAGGCAAAACGAAACCGGTTTGCTTAATTGACCGTACAGTTCGGATGCTTCCCGAAGCAGAAATTGAGGTTGAAACCCCGTACTTCAGCGGGAGGGTTACTGCTTTATGCATGACGACCCCCCTGTATGACCTTGTCATCGGAAACATCGACGGGGCGCGAGGGCCAAGTGATCCAGAATGTTTGGGAGAAGACCCGAAGATCTGTCTGTCTGTCTGTCTG